GGGGGGGGCGGGGGGGGCGGCGTGCCGGGGTGTCCGGCCGGCGGCACCGGTGCTGTTCCACTCTGTTCTGTTTCTCTCGCTCAGGTCTGCTGGCCATGGGCAACCTGATAAAGGTATTGGGCAAAGATTTAGAAAACTGTCCTCATTTTTTCCTGGATTTTGAAAGTAAGTCCCGTGAGCAGGGCGGGCGTGGGGAGGGGGCTGGGGCCGCTGCCGCGGCTGCTCTCCAGAATATGGGGACAGGCACCATGTCCCCGAGCGGCCCGGCATCCCCAGGCGCCTCGGGGCAGCCCTGGACGCACCCTGCAAAGGGCTGAGTGGGGCAGGGGAGCGGGACCCCAGGAGATGCCCCGTCCCTGGAAGCGCGGGGAGATGTCCCCGGCTGAGTGGCGGGGATGCAGGATACATCCCAGCAGCAGGACATGGCCCACGAGGACCTAAGGCACGTGCCCGCTGTCATTAGAGTCGATGGCACGGGGTGGCCAGGTGGCACGGCCACCGCCACGACGGGGACAGCCTGGAGGCCGGGGACGCCAGGGAAGGAGGAGGGAAGGATCCGTGCTGCCTGCCCTGCCAGGAGGGGCAGTGCAGAGGGACGGGGACTGGGGACCCCAGTCCAGCTCAGGGGACCTGCCCCAGCTTCCCGCCGGCCTGGGCTAACTGGGACAGGACATCGTGGCTTGCGGACCTCCCAGGCTGGACACGGGGGCGTACGGGAGATGGTTGCCACCACGGCCGGGTGCCAGACCCGGCACAGCCCCGTGGCCCCCTCTTCCTCCCTCTCCTCCCCTTCCTCCCGGGGCACAGCTCAGAGCAAGAGCGAGGAGGGTAAAAATAGAGCAGCAGCAACCGCTTGCCCCGGCCCTCGCCCCGGCCCCCGGCGGGGAGAGGCCGTGCACAGCTCACCGCACCGCCTCCGGCACCGGCACATCCCAAAATAGCCGGGGCTGGGGTCACGCAGCCACCCCGCTCCCACGGCAAGGGACCTTCCCAGAGCCTCGTGCGTCCTTTGAGGCAGCACAGCCTTCACCC